TTTTTTGGTTGTTATTGTTGGCTTTTTGAAACAGAGTTTCTTTGTGAAACAGCCCTGGCTGTCCTGGAACTCACTCTGTAGATCAGGGTGGCCTTAAACTCACAGAGATCAGCCTGTCTCTGCCTCTAGAATGCTGGGATTAAAGATGTGCACCACCACTGCCTGGCTAGCCTACTTTCTTATAGAACCTAGGACCACCAACCCAGCCCAGTTCCACTTACAATGGGCTGGGCCCTCCCCCATCAATCACTAATTAAGAAAATGCCCTACAGCTGTATCTTATGGAGGAGGCATTTTTCCAGTTGAGGTCCCTCCTTTTAGATAATGCTAGCATGTGCCAGCACAGTGAGTTTGAAACTAGCCGGAACTACATAGTAAGATCCTGTCTTTAAAAAACAAGATGATTATTCTGATTGTGTCTGTCTTAGCTAGGATTTTATTGCTGTAAAGAAACACCATCACCACAGCAACTCTTTTTTGTTGTTGTTTTGTTTTTTGAGACAGGGTTTCTCTGTGTAGATCAGAGATCCGTCTGCCTCTGCCTCCTGAGTGCTGGGATTAAAGGCTTGCACCACCACCGCCCGGCTCCACAGTAACTCTTACAAAGGAAAATATTTAACTGGGGCTGGCCTACAGTTTTAGAGGTTTAGTCCATTATCATCATGGTGGAAAAGTATATCAGCATGCTGGCAGACATGGGGCTGGAGAAGGAGCTGAGAGTTCTACATCTGGATCTGCAGGCAACAGGAAGAGATTGAGACACAATTCCTCCAACAAGGTCACACCCACTCCAACAAAGCCACACCACCTCATAGGGCCACTCCCTATGGGCCTATGGGGACCATTTTTATTCAGACGACCACAGTGGCATACCTCTCTAAGTCCCTTGTCCACAATTCACTCAGCGACTGTTATGACTATCTCTGGCCTTCAGTTACTCAGCAATGAGCCTTTCCTTCTCAGTGGCAAGTGACAGAAATCATACCAAAACCCCAAGCAAAAACTGGAATTTGTTAGCTAATGTAATGGAAAATGCTTTAGATATGGCTGGGACCAGGAGCACATGCAATGTCATAGATTCATTTTCTTGGCTCAAGGGGAGGGTGGGACAGGTTCTAAGTAGTCCAGGCTGATCTTGAACTCCAGATCCTCCTGCTTCCACTTCATGAGTATTGGAATTATAAGTGTACCCAACCCAGGAAGTGCCCCTGCTCTCCCCATGGGCTCTTACTCTCGGGCTCTCCTCTTAGGGTAGCAGAGCTGGCCACCAGCATCTCTACTCTGCCCTCACAGGCCCAGGAAGTTCCCAAGCTCGTGTTTACTGTTAACACCTTTTCCATCCTCCCCTGGACCATTGCTGTGGCTCAGACTGGCCAAGTACAAGCCTCAAGCCCACTTGGAGAGTTTGAGGTGTGGGGTCAGTCGCACTGAAGGCTGCAAAGTTGGGAAGCGGCCTCCAGGACAAGTGGTGGGTTCTGTGCGCTAGAAAAGAGCCCATCACTTACCCGACTTCGCTCTCTGTGGCTGTGCTAAAACAACTTAGGGAGGAAAGGATTTATTTCCGCTGACACTTCCAGGTCACCGTCTGTCGCTGAGGGAAGTCAGGGGAGGAACTCAAGGAGCCACAGAGGAATCCAGCCAGCTAGCTTTTCCATACAGCCCAGTCGTCGTCGTCGTC